AACAAGAGCTTGGACTGATTAAAAGAAACCTTTTTAGTTACGTGGCTTTTGGCTTTCATTCCTGGACGGAGAAGGGGGGGGGGGTCAGAACAGTAGGCAACGTCATGGAAATTTTGATCAAACAAAATGATGCCTTGGTAACATTTATGCATCCATGAGGCCCTGCTCATTCATTTTATTGGCCTGAAAGACAAGATGTTTGTTGGGTTCCAGAACCACATCTTATTTGCGTGCTTCCAGCACCTTAAGTTACATTGTCAAGTTGGCAGTACAGTATCAAATCCCAGAAGCAATGCTAAAGAACATGGCGCGTGAATTCAATAATAAATAAGCGATAGTTGGAATTTGGCAGTACAAACAGTACGGACTTCGGCTTGGGAACCATATAAGATACCCACTTTAGGCTTGGGAACCTACGATAAGCTGCCCAATCATCAGCTTGGGAACCAGACAGATACCCACACAAGGCTTTGGAACCTCGAGGAAGAAACCAAACTACGCGCTTGGGATCCTGAACCAAGAAACTCACCTGTGGCTTGTATTGCATGGCTATTGGGCGATGGGGTTGCTGGGTCAAGTGCCTGAACTGGTAGTGACAATGTCACCATGGACCAATAGTAGTAATGATGTCTATATAAAAAAAACAAAATGAAACAATAATAGAATGCATGTGACATTGCCATACAATGTCCTCAACTTTGTCCCTATTTTTAGGGCTTTATAAGTCAGCGATGAAAAACCAACCCTACTTTTTTAGGGGGCTTGAAACATGCTGTTTCCAATGAGAATGATTTAACAGAGTTTCCTGAAGGTCTTTTTTTGTAAAATGGGGCTGAAGATACCCTATTTTTTGGCATTTTTACAAAAACTGTCAAATTTACGCTCAATTTGTGAACTATTGGAAAGCAGTAGGAGAATGAAATTTTATATTCGAAAACCTTATGTTGCTAAGTTATTACGCACAAATGTTCACATTTCTCATACCTTTCCTTCCAGAGATATAAAAAGCCAAACTTTAACCTTTTTTCGAGTCACAGTCATTTTCGGCCAACTTTGTTCCAACTTATCTAGATGGAGATCGCTCATGAGAATGTTTTTATTATTTTTTTTAATAGAGCACAACAAGTTGTACAAGATGGCCAAGTTTTGTTTCTCTCAAGAAAATATTGCTGGAGATATTATGTCTCAAAGTTGCTGAACCCTCAGGGTCGTACTGTAGAAGGCTGCGATATGGGGTCAAACAAATGACTATATCTCTGCAAGTATTGCATCAGCAAACATAACACTTTACCAATGTTAATTGGGGATGTGTGTGCATGTTCACATCAAATTTCATTGAAATCCGTGATGGTTGAGCTGGGCACTTTTCTGAAATCAGACCACTTGACATGGAATGACCCCATTTTAAGATGTGTGGAATTCAACTTCCAGAGTTCCCCAGCCAGCCCCACACATCTTAAATTGCCCAAGGTTAAGAAACACTGGTCTACAGTCATACTCAATTCTGATGCAACTCTTTCTCTTTATCCTCCAGCGCTTCCCCAGATAGAATGCGCTATTTGGGCATGTCTTTTGCAAGCTGAGAAGTTGTGGTCCTATAATTAAACATCCATCGCACACCCATCATATCAGGGAAAGTATAACACACTCACCTTGCAGTGTCCGACGATGGAAGCGTGGGGAACCAAGGAAGCTGTTCTTGATAGAGTTCAAACGAGTTTTC